AAATTCGAGATGCGCCTTCTGTAGCATGTCTGATAGGCGTAGTCCTCTTGATACGCTTGTTCAACAGTTGGGTTCTTTGGAGTTAGCCGCGCTTAGTCTTGGTCCTAGTCTTCGACTTTGTCGACAAGGGTGGCCCTCACTAGGAGTTTACAACACTCGGCGGCATTCATCCCAATCGCCGGAGCACGCACGCCCCTCCACCACAAGGGGTGACCATCACAGGTATCTAAAAGGAATTGCTATAACGTAGCTAAAACATTGATTATAAAACTCGGGTTACTGAGATTAGTTGCGTAATTACGTTGTTTTTGCTCTAGAAAAAAAATTAAAGAATCGGGAAGAGGCTAATAATATAGAGTAGATGATATTATTATAATTACGTCTTTTCAAATTCCATTATTTTTATGCCTTTCAAAATACATACATACATACATACATATATATATATATATATATATATATATGAATTTTCATAATGTGTAACGTCATTTGATTACATTTGATACGCCATGAGCAGATATGAATGTACGTTAGAGATTCATAGAAGATTGAAGATCAAATACAGTAAATTCGATCTTGCTAACAGAACGCTCCTCTGTGGCCAAATCGGTTGCAGGCACGTCAAGCTAAATGACGGTTCTGTTTAGAATACTGTCGGAGGACGAATATTTTCTGTGAAAATTTCTCTGCAGGCCGGTAAATGTTGTTTAATACTGTTTATTATAAACAGAGCATTTACTTAAATATTTGTATCTATAAAAACAATGTATAAACATAAAATGATTAATAATATATATATATATATATATATATATATATATATATAAACATTCATCGGCAACAGTCTGTTCACGTTTCAATACAATCTCAGGCCTAAAGACTTCGTTCAAACATGAAACACATCAATGTTGACCTTAGTGTATACTTTATATTGACATACACTCTAAAGCTGATAGTGAGCACTTTTATCTGTAAATATAGCATAGAGTAATATATATATATATATATATATATATATATATATATATATATATATATATTATTAAATTGTAACAGTATTAGGTGCCAAAATTTCTTGTTTTCTTTCCATAGTTTACAGGTGGAAAGGCCTTTTAGTCAAGCAGTTTTTTGTCTTAAAGTGTCGGATAACAAAAGTTAAGGATAGAGAGTTAATAGAATTAGTGGGGAGAAAATTGTCATTAAATTGAGTTGTGTAATTTCAGGCATGCTCACTTCGAAGTTTCCTGAGTGCATTGTTGTAATGCCTTCACTCTTCAGTGTTACTGGCTTTCCTGCTGCTACTTCTCAACATTTTTGTTTTTATGTATAAAGTGATGAACGCAACACTTATGTTGGGTTAGGAACTATTCAAGTGATCAGCTGGTGCGTGTTTGATCTGCTGACAGAAAACGATCAGAAACTTTGGTCATGTCAATTTCAATTTGTAAAATATTCTCAACTCTCTTTACGGGATATGCTAATAGCATTGACTGTTTCATTTATAGCCAATCTCCTGGGATTCATCAGCATTTGGTGAACACGATGTTTTCCTCGGTGGTAACAGTTTCAGGACGTCCAGAACATGTGTCATCTACAAGTCTCTTGATACCTTCTAAATTTAGCTGCCCATTTAACTGTTGATAAACCTGCTGTGTCGTCGTCTAATGTAGCAGCCATGTCAGGACAATTATCCTTGGATGCTAAACCCTTTTTTATGCAGATCCCTGATAAAACCACGATATCGAAACTTCAAGAAAAGTCGCTAGTAGTTACATTTGAATTTTTCTTTGAAGAATCAGACTTCAGTTTAACGGGGCGGGGATTGCTACACGTATTGATAGGAAGAGGTCAAATTAATGCTTTCAAGATTTCATAGCTCCAGCATCATTCCTTTATAGTTAGACTATGAACTTTTCAGTCCACTCCTGTATATGCATGTGTGTGTGAATATGTCATTTTGAAATTTTCATTTTAATTTTGAATGGTATTTTTTAAAAAAATAAATAGAATCGCTTAAGAAGTTTAATATTTTGAATTGAGAAATATTCTTAAAATACATTATCGATTGCATTGAAGTAAAATTTACGAACTAGACAAAAATAGAAAGTTGCTGGTGATAACCATCTGAAATATGCAACAAGCTCGAGGCTACTGGAATTCTTGTTAAATTTTATAGTTTAAATAATACATATTTCTAGATCACTCGCCATTTCCCTCTTTCTTTCTTTCTTTCTTTCTCCACCTTTACACATATCTATTTATCTATCTATCTATCTATCTATCTATCTATCTATCTATCTGTGTGCGTGTATGTATCTTTACATATATGTATATTTAAGCAGAATATCTTCATTTAAACATGTTTCACCAAATAATATAGTTATATTCTTTCTACGTATTTGTACCTGTACTTTAAATTCACAAACGCACACACACACACACACACACACACACACACACACACACACACACACACACACACACACACACACATATATATATATATATATATATATATATATATATCAGGCGGCCTGACGATTGCGTCTAGCATAAAAACATCCTGTTGCATTTGTGCTGACTTCAATGTTCACTTATATATATATATATATATATATATATATATATACAGTTAGATAGATAGATGGATAGAGAGTTGTTTATTCTAGATGCAATCCCTATTTTATACAAGTTTCGTTGAACAAGACTGTCAATGAGGTGTTATTTTTCTTATAAGCTTATAGTTGTTTATTCTTGCCTGATTAAATGCAGACATTGTGCACGCTAATGTCGAACTCATGCGCTTTCGCCTTAACCATAAGCAATCATCTAAGATTGTTGTTATACTACAATAATATAGGGTACTTTAGTCCTATTGTAGATTATAAAGAATGTTAGTTAGTGAATACCAGTATATTGTGACCTTCTTTATAACTGATGCCATTAGGGGATAAATTTTTATTTTTTTATTTTTTTTATATAAGGCCTTTCCTCAGTTTTAAGCACTTTTTACAACGGAAGGTACGAATCTCATGAACAATCCAGAAATTAAATAATTTGTACGCAAGGAATCCATAATTTAAACCTATACAACAGTAACTTGTTGACTTTTTCACACACACACACACACACACACATATATACATATATATATATACATATATATATACATATATATATATATATGCAGGTATATATATGGCTTGTGCATATATTGATATATGTATATGTACGCAGATGTGTATATATGCATGCATATATCTATTTATCTAGGTAGGATGGATTATATGAAAAACAGTTGAATTTTTATTCTATTACAACCATCCCGTTCAGTAAGAATATCAACAGAACAACTGAAAAAAGAAATTTACGGAAAAATCGTCGCCTATCTACAGTATACATAATTTCAATCCCATTTCACTCGGAAATTGGAAAAAAAATATAATAAAAATTAAATATTGCCTATGTTTTTAGAATTTAACGAAAATTCCACCTTATATATATATATATATATATATATATATATATATATATATATATATATATATATATATATATATATATATATATATATATATATATATATATATATATATATATATATATATATATATATATATATATATATATAAAGTTTAATTTCAATACAATGTCAGTCTAAGTTATGCTAGACTTATTAAAAAAGAAAGAAAACTTATACGAAAAATTCTTGAAAAGGCAGTTATCTTTTCTTACCAAAATGTTTAACTTTTACCAATATCTCTTTTATGAATGGAAATGTTTGACTTCTATGAAATATATCTTTTATGAAAGGAAATATACGTTTCCCAATTCAGCATCAGTCAGTTATGTCCCATGCGTGATACACGCTTAGGCGATCATGTATCTTTCGATACATGACAGACGAAGCAGATTTTTTTCCGCAGTAGGTTGTCATTTCTTTCTACGGTTGACCAGTTGCCTTGAAAGGCTATAGAAACTAATCGGTCCTACTATTTACAGCGGCTAGAAGGGGATTCATATGTTTCCCAAGTAGCACGTAAGTGAATGTAGTGGATTTGACTGGAATTCGAACTCGGTTCTCCGATTCTTTAGTCCGAGTCGCTATCCATTACTCCACCGATACCCATAAAAAGTCATAATAAAGTGGTTAATTTACTTTATCTATTAAAAATAAATATATAAGTAAATAATTTATCCAAATAACATAGTAAATATTAATTACTTAAAAAATAAATTAATTAAAATTCATCTATAACAACATCAACATTTAGTAAATTTCGTTTATTTAGGCTATAGATTACATCACTTAACGTCATCCATAGTTTACTTTTCCCTATAAAGATGGCATTAAGAATATTCTATTCATTCATCAATTTAAAATTTGAAAACTTAACGATCTTTTTCCTCTACTTCTGTTTCGTAATATGAGATGCAAAAGTAAATTTGCCTTGATAATGTTCCTCGGTGAACAAAACACGTTGGTAAAGATATGGTTTGCTTTTGTCTCATCAAGCTAAGAAAGCGGCAATAATCCGCTGTTCAAAACAAAATGCCACCCCACTGTCAGCTATAATAATAATAACAATAATAATACTGTAGTATTAATGAAAGTAGTAAGAAGGATAAATAGAGGAGGGGTGGATAAAAAATATGTTAGAATTGCCGTATACAGCAAATTCACAAAGCCGTTCGGATGACTCGCCTTGTAGGGGCGGCCGGTGTGTACTATAGTAAGGCGTCTCATAAGAAACTTTTTGACATGCTTGCTTCCTTTTACTAAACATTCTGGCATCACCCTTGCCGTCTGAAAGTTCTAATTTCTCGTTCAGGCAAAGGTTACACCTATCACCCTAACAAACGAACACCTGCTCTTTGCTGATTATTTCGCACTCCACCGTGTGATGTCGTTTTTCCTTCTCTTTTTACTGACAGCTGTATTCAGAGATGAAGACATATTTTATGGTTATAAAATCTCCATTTTCACACCCCATTTGTAACCACAATGAAGAGCTTATTGCACCAAATCTACTAAATTTGACATTATATATATATATATATATATATATATATATATATATATATATATATATATAGATAGATAGATAGATAGATAGATATAAATACAGAATGCAGCGACCTAGTGTACTACGTGCCACAAGGTCTAAACGACCCTCCACAGGCTTTGTGTTCAGAGTTGTACTTCTCCTAGACCAGTTGCCATTCAAAGCTATAGAACACAGTCTCTCTTGCTATTTACCCATAGCTGTAGGGAGAAGAAAAAGTGTGGATGATCCTGCACGAAACCTTCACCACTATAATCAAATCTCATGTGCTGTTGTCGGGCTATCGGTTTCCTAGGAACTGATCTGCTTGACCCTCATACGTCGATTCGACGGGAGAGTCGATATCTATATATATATATATATATATATATATATATATATATATATATATATATATATATATACGTGTGTGTGTGTGTGGGTGGGTTCTTTTTGCAGGAAAAAAGTGACGGCTCAGCCGAATAAAGTAGTGCCCAACTTGCTTATGTGGGCATACAGCATATATATATATATACTATTTTTGCATAACATTATTCTATTTTTCCTACTGAATCTAATTTGATTTCAGCTGATGAGTTGGAATTAGATAATTATTTAATCTGATTAGTTAAAATTATAACTTCTATGTAATAGAGTGGAACTCTACATATTGAACAAAGTAGAGACATACTTGGTGGCTGATTCATTTTTTTACGGTTTATCAGCACTGTGTACAGGATTTCACACATCAACATATATATATATATATATATATATATATATATATATATATATATATATATGATTTTAAAGATAGATGGAGGCAGCATAAGTGCTCTTTCAATAATATAAACAAAAGAAATCAGACTTCCCTATCTAAATATTTTTGGCATCTGAAGGAAACTAATAGGACACCTAAAGTAAAATGGAAAATCCTAAACAGGGCTAGAACATGTAAAACTTGGGATGACCCATGCCCTTTGTGCCTCCATAAGAAATTTCACATTATTAAGCTTCTAAATAATAATAATCTATTAAACAATAGACATGTTAACGGTTTTTTGTCGACATCATCAGATTTATGGTTTGAATAATTAGCTAAAAACAAGCATACAATATAATAACTTGTTTAATCCATAGCCCAATCATCAGATTCATGGTTTGAATAATTAGCTAAAAACAAGCATACAATATAATACCTTTCATAGTCCATAGCCCAAATAAATGGTTTAAATACCCTACAAAAAAAGATAACCCTTTATGAAGTCGTCAAAAAACAAACGTTAAGACAGTTTTTTTTATATGCACAAATCTATTTCATAAAAAAATAAAATAAAAAAATAAATAAATCTCCATAGACACGCATACCAGACTAGGGTGAATACATCTTCCGTTTAAAATTTAGACACCCCCCACCTTTCCCTGACTTGACATCTATGAAAATAACTCTGTACTGATACTTATTTTTAACACCCAACATACGCCTACCCAATTTAAACAATTCGCCCTAGCTGTTACCATGGAAATTTTTATTTCAATTATTAAAACACGTAAATTTCAGAAATACGTTATTCCAAAAAAATTTCACTTTGAAGATGGAACAGAGCTTAATTTAACTCAATTTAATTCAAATAATTATATTGAAGTTTTCGGCCTCTGTTTTGAAACATGAGACTTTATGTCGCGAGTTGGAATCATATTTTTAAATAAATAATTATATTTTTTTTAAATAAATAATTATATATATATATATATATATATATATATATATATATATATATATATATATATATATTTGCGAGTGGATTGTGCATTAACAAATTGTTTGGAGCTAATGATGACTTTTTCAGATACGTATCCTACTGCTTTTATCATAACTACAGGGAGGTGAGATGGATCCATATTTTTCCCAAGTCTGATTGAGCGTAAGTGAATTTAACGAACTCGATTGAATTTCGAACTCGGTTCTCCGATTTCTCATTCCGTGCCACTATCTGTTATCTATTACACTAGAGGAACAAAGTAGAGATAGAAATAATTATGTAAACGTATTTTTTAAAATACGAAAGTGACAAAATAATGAAGGAAATGCGATGAGGTGCGAATGTATTTTAGAACCAAGAAAGAAAGCCTTAAAATCATCCTGTTATTTACCCATTTGATATGACTTTAGTAATGTGATCTCGCCGAAAACTCTTATGAAATCTTGGTTTATTTAATAAATAAACTCACAATCTCGATAAGCAGAATAACGCAAACGATGCCATAAACACTTGAAAACATCATCTAAATTTATAACGTCTCTAAACACTTTGCGCCATTTTAGAGAAAGATACCACGAAAGTTTTCTTAAATTGCAAATCGAGAACATATTTCATTCTTTCAAATGACAAATAATTGATGAAAACACTCGAAAAATAAAACAAAAAAATGTAAGAATAATTTTTAAACACACTGAAAGCAAACACCGATTGCTTACTCTAAAGAGAAAAAAGAAAAAGAAAAAAGAAAACAAACTTTGTCAAAACAAAGCTTTCTTCTGCATATTAGGGGTGCTGAAAAAAGGCGGAATCCTCCTGCTTCGAAAAATGACTAAATATAAGATTTAACAAAGATTCTCTTCTTGGTCTTGCCAAAATTTCCGCGCATAAATCTCTATCTTTATATATATATATATATATATATATATATATATATATATATATATATATTCTTTCTCTCTTTAATAGCACATACTTAAAAAAAACATCTTTTGATCGACAAACAATTATTTCGTCTTCAAGTTTTTGATTTTATAAGGAAAATATATGCCTGACGATGAATAAAGGATTATTCGAAAGTACTTGCATTTTAAAAAAAATATAAACTGGAAACAACAGGCATCAGTTTTATAGATGAGGATCACGTCACTCTATAGATTAACAGTATTTTAATGCACACATTATACACTACTAGCGATGGATGTTGCTAATAATACCATTAATATTACTGATTGATTCTATGTGTGATTATTTCTTTGTATATATATATATATATATATATATATATATATATATATATATATTCAAACCCTGTTGTTGAGATAGCCGAGAGGATCACGTGACAGCCGGTGAATTACGTCATTTGATAGATAAACTATTAAATGTAGCCGTCTCTTCTACTCCAATAGCTTCATATCTCGCACCTCTCCCTTGTGAAACTCCTTTCCCTATTCCAGTTTCCCTGTGAGCTATAATATCCAACTATTCAAATGTAATGTCAATCTATATCTCCAGTTGCCTTGATCTATCCACTATCCTTTTTCTCATCTTTTCCTCTATCACTCATATCTGATCTTGCTCCAAATCTTCTGTAACCCCTTGAGACCTAGTGGCTTCCCGCCTTGCTTGGGGTGAAACGCTTAAAAAAAGATTGACGAAGGCAGTTGTGCTGTAGTGCTAGAACGTCACTTGCCCACAACAGGAGGCATTAGAGGAAAAAATACATGACCTAATCTGGTTCGTAGAGAAACCGCCATATTACAAGGTTCTTCTTTCTTACACGTCGTTTGTTATTGTATATGTTTTAATTTCTCTGTGTGGGACAAGTGTATATGTGCATATATATCTATTTTTGTTTATGACGTAGCATTATAAAACTCTCGAAGAACCAACCATATTTATTATTCATTTTTCTATTCTGTCTGTTGACTACGGTGTTATATAACGGATATGACAATTCTCATAAAGAGAGAGATGTATTTGGTGAAATAAATATTTCTTTTCCTCTCTATTGTTACACTGGAAATGTTTTATTTTATATATATTTTATTACAACAATGTATTGCTAGTAATTTTTTACTACGCGAATGTATTGCTGGTATTATTACTAAAAATATTTATAGTTACATCGTGTTAACTATTTGCCCATCGCTGGGATAATAACATGTTTTACCACTCCGAGTCAAGGTGAACATGGAAACGAAAACAAGTAAGAGGTGGTTCCTCATTCCACAAGACCTCGCGATCAGAGGCTTTTCTGTCGGGTGTAATTTATCGTCAAACCCAGTACGACAGGGTAACTCAACTGAACTTTAACCTCAGGCATCGCACATATATAATGAATAAAACAGAGACATGATTATGGCATTTTTTAATCATTTCGCCCCCAAACAAGAGAAAAGAGACACTAAAACGCAAGTTTGAATAAATACACGATTAAACAGAAACATTATTAAGGAGCAAGAACAATAACCGTACAAGAAATAAGAAGACAGAAATTAACGATTGACATTGCATACATGATTGGAAAGCGAAGAACCAGAATAGAGTTCTGTAAGCGAGAAGTACAAGAAAAACTTTAGCATAGAAAATGCGACTACATTTAGCCATTTCAATTGTAAAATGATAGGACCTTGATGCTAATCTAGTACTGCGCTTATAGTCGTAGAGTCTACGTGTCGTAGAAGGTTCATCAGAATAATTGCTATGAAAGTAATTATAGAAAAAGAAGTAGTAAGGAATATTAAAGCGAGTGGGAGAAACTGAAGCCGGTATGCCGGATCAAGACTAACTACATCACTAAATATACAGCAGTGTAACCAGATCATACATGACAACAATAATAACAGCATGGACGAATGGCAGATTTAGACGTAGAACAGATTCAGTCGATCCTAATTCTTAGAGGAAAAAAAAGATGTCAGAGAAAATTGAAATCTGTAGTGTAAGAGTTAGGACACGGCATAAAATAAATACAATTGAGTGAAATAATCTTGAAAATGAAGAAACATTCAGGTGATATATCCAATCAATTGATCTGTTTACATAGTGATGCTAAAAGTGCCAAACGTTAAAATGTCTTCATATTCTTTTGGCATCTTAGAACGAGAAAAAGAGTAGATAGAATGATGATACTATGCACATTTATTCTAAGAGGCAAATAGACAGTGTAAAGGTAGAAGTGTTCAAATTCAT